TAGCACCGAGGTTACATATTTCACTTTATGAATTCCCAATTGCAGCAACTCTTCATTTGTCTGAATATGTTTCGAAATCTTCCTTTAATAATGAATGATCGAACAGGTCAATCCTTAACTTTAAACGACCGTTTTATTGGCTTAACTTGATAGATAAAAAAATTTAGGAACCATCACAATTAACGTTCTCACAGAATTGAAATTCACATTCATTCACTGCAGCTTATCCCACTGATCAAATTGAATAGTTTCGATTCAATGTGAATATATCTTGCAATTTCTTGAGTCTCATCATAAATTATTTTTCATTCTTAATCGTCCAATTATTCGATTCTACTGAAGTGTTCATTTTGTTGAATAAAACCATCATCACCATACTTTAAGCGTTCAAAAAAAGCGCAACGATTGACCCAATTGCGACATAAGACCACAATAATAGGGGTCAATCACATCTTTATATTGCTACTCCTCTTCAGTCAGTTTCCTTTTATTCCAATCTTCTGCATTCTTCCTCATTTCAGCAACTCATTCAAAATTGTTTTGAAGACGATTCAGAATCATTTCCGAGCGATCAGTTGGCTGTTTTCTGGATCGTTAAGTGATGCGATTGTAACCATTCAACATTATTGGCAGTTTTAGGTCATTCCACTACTTGAACTTGATTTCTGACTTGTGGTACTACCGGAATGGTCTAAATTTTATTATAGGATCAAATTTTATTCTGTCAGATTCTCATACTTTTTGCTTCTCCCTGAAATACCGTTAAAAATGAACGCTTTGAACAGTGATGTTCTTATCTACTGCGATTCCATACGTCTCATCTCGATGTTTTAATTTCAATATAATTATTCGTTTCAAAGGTCTTGCTTCCTTCGTTCTTCACTTATGATATGATACATTTATTGCCTGACAGAAAACATTGCCTTTGAGTGTTATTGTGTAGCGGTATTCCTTTCATTTTCGGTAAAAGATAATGTAAGAAGTGAACACACTGCTTGAGGGCAAGACGCCATTAGTAAAGAAGCCACGCGAAATGACCAAAACCTTTCGTAGTCAATACGATTCCTTCATAATTCGCAAGAATGTACGAATAAATCTATCAGTCAAGGGTGTAATCCTATGCATTTTTAGTCAACCAAAAGATATCCCATTAACAACGATCCATCCAATCAGCCACTATTTTGCATCTATTGATCCGGCGAATACTGCATTCATCTTGAGGATGACATGTTTTGAAAGATATCAGCCGTATCTGAGTGATTAGGGGATATCTCTGGCGACAGGAGATTGTTGATGTTGAGCATGTTTAGCGATTTGATTTGTTTGACTAATTTGATTGTTCCAGTTTATTAGACAGGAAAATGCAGATCAATTTGATTGCATTAGAATTTTACGATCGATTTATTTTCTATGCATCGTATATGAATGCGCCTGTCTTGAAGCATGTTTTTGTCGTTGTGATCATAATTTCCATAATAGGCGTATTCTTTTGATTTCCTTAACTATAACTAATTTTAACTACGTTAGCGAAATGAAGTACTATCTGATTGTTTGTTGTGTTAGAAGTGTGAAATCACTTCAGTGTTCAGTTGTTCACCGCCTCAAAGCGAATGTTTGTTTTCGAGCCGTGTAACTGTATTTTGTTTGGCTCTAATACCCAATTAATACTGCCTAAACGGTCTTTATGACTGTTTTTCAGACGCTCTTCTTCCCATCAAACCGGATATTTCTGCGTAAATATCAACCAATTTCAAGACGTTCACTTCAACACTCGTGATCTGATCAGACATCATTTTTGCTCATAATAAATGTTAAACAGTGTGTTTTCTTTGCAACATCAAAAACGCAAGATTACCATAAAATTGCTCTCATAATCCGATAATTTCTCTAAAACGAGTAATTTCACGTACGCTTTCTACACACAAAACAATCTTTAACATATTATCCATGCATACAATCCGTTTCACCCGGTAACAACTAATACGCGTCGTCTGAGGTATTTCTTGGCCGAATCAATCGCTTCTTCTGTCCACTTTATTATGCTCAAACTTTTGTCCTCTCAAGTTGACTGTGTCATTTGAGGGAACTGCCTTATTATCACTTGTATCCGTTCCTTCCCAATTTATCATCCCAAGCAAACTTTCTTTCACTTATTGTAATCTGAATCGTTCAATTGAAATATCTTCATTGAATTGCTCTCTTGTATTCATAGAATTGCTGCGGCATAGAAAGTCTTCTTCATGTGAACGCACCGAGCAAACAAATTAGGCCTATTGTCCTGCGAGGTATATTATGAGGGGATTAATTTCCACGCAACTAAATAATTTCCAACCGGCTTGATCTAAGCACTGAGCGTTAGGTTTCGTTCAAAAATCAGTCGATTTCAAAGACTCGATTTGTTTGCCTCAGTCGTTCGTTTCAAATGAACGGCACCTTACCCATCTACGTTTTCAGCCTTCGGGAATCTGACGAATTGGAAACGAGTGCTGCCAGCAGCAAAGACAAGTGCGGCATTAATCCAAGAATGGGCACTGTCGTCGAGGGCAGGTTTACCACAGTATCTTCGAATGGAAAAACTCCGACGGATGAAGATACGGTATGAGTATTTTACTAGCGATTCAATGCTCATTAGCAACTAGACTTCATTGAAGGCTGTCTAAGAAAGTACGCAAAAACCAAAGCAATTGGCCGAAATTGCCATTGAATTTTCCTTGATGACACTGGAATTTGCTGTGCATTCATTTATCAATCGGTAATAAATTTGCGTTCCTTGCTCTAAAGTGCAACCGTTCTTGCATTGAAGGAATCGTTGCAACGACTCAGTTTCGTTAGTTCGTCAACTGGCTATAGCTCAGCACGTAGCAGTTTAAGAAGTTCAGAAATTGGTGAAGAGGCTCCATCGTTTCAATCGCGTGACTTCAGTATCGAAAGACGTCTTCTTACGTACGCATCTCATTAGTTGTTTCTTTGTTCCGACACTTTTCATTTCAACCTCATCGATCAATTATTTCTTGTAATGGAAAAAGTTCACTAAACTGACATTTAGTTCCAATCAGCAGTGAATTGCTAGTTTTTTTTAGAAATGGTTAAACCAACTTCATTTGATATTGAGCAATCAGTAGGCTATCATTCACTGCACTTGATGAACGAATGATATAGGACTGTTTTCAAGTTACGCGAAATAGTCCAAATTTGGTTGATTAAGCAAACAATCAAGTGGCTTTTCAGTCGTGAAGCATCACTGTCTGAGTCACGCCGACAAAAACTTCTCAAAAATGGGAACGCAACACAACTGGACCGAATTGCGATCGAGTTGCTGGATACGGAACGTTGTTACGTGAACGATCTCAATGATATCATTCAAGTATGCAGAATACTTTTTGTTTCTTGCTGAAAGTATTTCGATTTGTCGATTGTAGATATCAGTACTCATTGTGTAATTTTATCGCTCATCAAAATCATACTGTTGAGACGAATAGCATCCGAAAACAACTGACTCATAATTGCCTCGTATGGTAACTGACAAATGCGGTCTGAACCAAAAAAAGTAGTGCAAAAAGTATTCTTGTAATTGATGATGCATGTCTAAAAACGTTTGTTTTTAAAGGGTTATTTGAATTTCTTCATCGACCATCGCGAAGAGTTCCAAATGACAGTGGACGATGTGTCGAACACATTCGGCTGTATCGAGCGCATTTTCATCTTCAACAGACGCCTTTATCATCAACTCGATGCAGCGCTTCTCAACGTTGCTTTAGTGAGAAATTCTCGTTTGCACAATTATTTCTCAAGATATTTCTGACACTTACCATAAAAATAACCTCGATTCACAACAGCACAACAATCACACATTTCACAGTATTCGACTCTTTTCATGGAAGTGTCGAATTTACTTATGATGAGGAAATGAATCGATTATTACATTGTTTCATTAATTTGGAACTTGTTCGTTCTTTATTGGTAATTCGTTTTAATTTGCAGATGGCCAAATGTTTCATTGACAATATGGACGGTTTCAAAGACTACGTTACCTATTGTACTAACTATCAAAAGTATGTTGATACAATTCCATTACTGAAAATTCAAACGTTAACTGAGTGCGATTGACGCATGATTTGGTCGAGAATGACTTAGTGAACAGTTTTAAGTGAATTTTCTGACAAGGTGGGAGTGGGCAGCTGCGAGAAAGTTAACCATTCCTGATACTTAACATCCGTTTGCATCATTTTTTTCGCCTATCCTTGTCACCGATGTTTGATTAAACGCCTTTAGAATGGTTGATACATTATCGGTTCTGATGAAGAACAACATGGTGGTTGAGACTCTCGCCTTACGGCAGACCATCTTGGGACATTCGTTGCCGTTAAGCGCCTATCTTCTCAAGCCCGTTCAACGGGTTCTTAAATACCATCTCTTTATGGAGGTCGGCTTCAATCTATCTCATTTACGATTACTGTACTTTAGCCAGCATTCGATGTATGTTGATGAGAAGCTTCTTGAAAAGCTGATATATGTTGATATACTATGCTGATGATGATCGTTTCTGTGTTTGGTGCAAATATGTATGATAATCTTCAGATCTACCATGTTAATCATCACATCATTTTGCCTGCTTTCATTCTCAAATTTGTCACTTCCATTCCAAATTATTTTGCATTTACATGTGATCAAGAAATCAAGAGTGGTTTGAATTCGAGAAAGCACTGAAGAAAATGTGTAAACAGTTCGTTGGTTTTACGGCTGTCGGTTATCCACTAAACAAATGCTCTTTGGAGTGTTAAGTGGCACAGTTTCAGAACATTCTGAAGCATGCAAATGACGCTCGTGATGTATCTGATACGGACCGTGCGTTAATCTCCGAGGCGTTACACTGCATGACGAAACAAGCCGAGAAGATCAACGAGGAGAAGAAACGCGTAGAGCACTGGGAACGAGTGAAGGAACTGCAGAGTGCGTTGCATCGATGGTGCAGTGACGACGGCGAGGATCTGTCCAGATACGGTGATCTGATTCTTGAAGGAACCTTCAAGCTGGCTGGTTCAAAAACAAATCGACAATTGTTTCTGTTCGAAGAAATGTTGATGATTGTCAAGGAACGAAATGGTGCACTCATATGCAAAGATTACATCATGGTATTCACTCAATTTCTCAAGCTCATTTCATCTTCTTGTGCGCTTTTTGATCATTTGAAACGAATCATTCACGTTTACCGATGTTACTGACGATGAGGCTTTTTTTTCAAAATGCGATACGATCATGCAGGTTCTCTTGCTCGATATATGTAGTGCGACTATACAAGCTTGCTATAAATTTTGAATCGCTGAGAAAGGCTGCAGATGGGAGATATTACTTTCGTGAATTTCAGTGTTCGAATATCATGCTGAATGAATCGATTTCTGTGGATCCGTTGGCATTTCAAGTTCTCTCGTTCGATAATCCTAAAGTACAATACGCCTTCTTGGTAAGCACTCTACATGTCTTAACGTTATTCCAACTGCTCTCTTAAGATATTAAGCATGCGAGGCGTTTTACGAATCTTACTAATGAATTGTAGTCGACAAGCATCGAACAAAAACGCCAGTGGATGAAAGAACTGAAGCGAATGATGTTGGACCATTATACTGTTGAGATACCGGAACGAACCAAACTGTTGATGTTGAATATGGACACTACAAATCCGAAATCTTTCGTTATCAATCCTGATCACGGTCAGTTTTCGGAAAGCTTGCTTCACACCATATTTTTGCTTCAAACCAGGTGTCTCTTATTGTAAAGTGCTCCAACACAACAGTCAGTATGTGATGCAGTCGGCCAAAATCAGTTTCAAAACTTTCAACCAGTGGATCGCTTCCTTTGGAATTTTTGACTTATTAAGGTGAAACTGTTTTAGATGGGACCGTCTACGGTGGAAAAGGTGTGAAAAAAATTCCGAAGTATTTGGAGAAAAGGCGCNTGTTGATGCAAATACCACTGTGCGCAGATCGCAGCGACGTGATCGTAGCAATTCAAGGACACGATCAACATCTAGAGTTTCTAAAGCGGTTAGTCGTTTGATGAGAAATTGTTGGACTCTTGTCAGCAGTGCCTTGTGGAATTAAAAGTGACAAAATGGAATTCGTAATTGATTGATCAAATTGGCCGCTCACTTTTGGCGTAACATTGCAATTGTGGTGCAAATACGCGAACGTCAGATCGGATTTCCGATTGCGGCGATGAATTTCATTTATCATTGCGCTGGTTGGACTTTCAGTCTAGACGTTGGTATTTATCTGATGAGAACTTGTGGCTGCTCTTGATTAGAGTCAACGGCAACTAAGGGATATTCCATTTTATTACAGATTTTATTTCAATACTTTTTTCAGTCCTCAACAGGTAGTCTCATTCCTGTGCTGAGTGCAGTCAATATCGGCTTAGCGACTAAAGAAACGCCTACAGCATGCACGTGCAACTCTGAAAATAATGCCACGGTTATTCAATTTTCACTGTCATTTTGCGTCGACTGTTGCTATTCATATTAACTTCATTTTATCGCTTTGTTCACGAACATTTTGTAAAAATGTTTTGATCGAAACCCTTATCGAAAGTCGTGTCACGAGCACACTTTTTTCGCAGATTTTATTTCGCACAACTCTATTGCGTGATATATCCTCTGTTTCAATTCAGAACTATCATTTTTAGCCATCGACGTCTAGTTTCACGACAAAGTCGCTCGTTAGCAATGGCGCGTTTAGTGCTGCCCCATCGCTACCTTTTGGTGCGGTGGATAATTCGGCAACCGCAATTTCCAGTATGTTCGCTAGACGTAAATCGCACGACAATTCACGCCCGAAACTTTTGAATGGCAAAAAGCGCAACGGTTTCCTTCCGCCACTGCCCTCAGCAACCACCATGGTGCGTCGTCTATAAATGAAATCGTTTTTTGATCATTCCAAATTGTCATCTCATCCTTCCGATTTGACCGGACATTTTCAATGTTGATTATATTCATTAGTTCGTTTCAATAGCGATCATCCAGCTCATTGTTTTCAGCGTAATACCACCGGATCTATTAGCGACCAAACAAATGCTCATAACTGTGCGAAACGCAACGATACAAATCTAGCCAGGTTACCTTCTTTTGCCTCTCAGTCGATGCATTCTAGCATATTCAGAGCTTCAAATCCTAAAATCTAATTCATTTTGCCGTAATCACTTGATCAGCGGTAATTGCGAATGTAATTTTTCAGTTTTACAAAATAACAATTTCAGTCACAGTCATTTCAAAAGTTCCAACAGTTGCGCAAAGTGTACATGCAATGGTACCGATTCAACTCCTTTACAAGAATCATCTGCCCGCATATCACCCTCATCAGAGAACGTCTCTTCGCCATCCGCCAGTCAACACATCGAAAACACTTTCGCTGAGCTTTACAAGGTTGCCATTCTGGCGCAATTATCTCCAGTTCCTTCTCACTTACGTCAACATGTTTTCGTATTCTCGTCGATATATAACTCATAAACACTCATTTCTGGAGCGGAGGAAATCCGCTTATTCGAGCGTTTGAAATTCGGTCCTAATTGTAGCATGTATGAAGAGAAAATATTTAAAATAGTTAAGTGTGTTCCATTTCAGGAGCTAAATCTGTTAGCTATAAATGCGGATAATGTTGTTGAAAAGACGAATCCAGCCGAAACTTCACAGAAGAAATGCGATATGAGACAGTCGCATACATCCAAGAAAGTTCACTCGTCGTCACCAATTAGCGCAAATCCAAAAAATGGTTTCTTTTATGATCATTTCACTTTTCAATTGCTTTCTATTTTAATAATTTGAATGCTCAAGCTTCAACCACAGCTCATCAGAATCTTTCACAAACGAGTGGGAATACTTTTGTCATTTAGCTATGTTAATGGGCGACTTTTGTAACGTAGAATCGTTTTAGAGGAAAACACGGATCGTGAGAGGCGAGAGCGTTCAAAATCGTTGAGTAAATTTGATGATTTGATATGCACGTCTACACCCATTCCGGATTCATCCCTCATTGCCGATCAGTCAAGTGAAGCGTTCGTCGTTGAACCAATCGGTATGTTTCAGTTGCGCATTAGTTCTGAAAATCAATATCGCATTCACGATTGTGATTTACAGAATATCAGTATCAGTACCATTCATGAAATCACAGTCAGTACCAACGCCCTGATGATTCAGTAATGAATAATGAGCGGATTGATCATTCGACTAAATGAATTTATCGCAGTTTTATTGAAGATAGTTTATTCCAGATAATAATTCTGAAGTATTCATGAACGGATCGGATTTCGCCAAAATGCTGGACGAAAAGATGAAAGCTCATGCATCGGATACCGACGAAACAGATGACGATGACGTACCGAAAGGTGTCAATTGGACTGAATCGCCAGCCGTTCGCAATAGGTACCGATTGTTACACTGAATCGATTTGTGCATACAAATTCGCTGAGAAATTGCATCGTTTTAAATATTTTAATAATCATCGAGGTGAACGAAGCTGTTGAATTACAGACTCAATAATGGTCCATCGAATGTACATCATCGACGAAGGTCCTCGCAAGTGGCCGAACAAGTGTGGCGACTTCGTCATAAGAATGCGATGAATAAAAATGTCGAGAATTGTGTTGATGGGGTGAGTGATCTCTGAATTTCTTTTTGTTTCCAATCATCCCAAAATTTCTCTCATCAATTCGAGAATCCTTACTTCGCCAGTGATCTTTTCTTATGAACTAAGGATAAACTAAACAATTTAAACATTGGAACAACTGAGTTCATATTGTTACCTGAATGAAACACCTTCAAATCTTTCTACATCTTCGAACCATCTAAGAAGGCGACTATATTACTGGTTCAGATGTTCAAGATGCCAATTTAGCATCGACTATTTGAGTAATCGATTGCTAAACAATTTCGTGCCAATTGCAATATTGTTAAACATTTCAGAAATCATTTTCATCATATACAGCTCCAAACAACATTCCATTACGAGTCACTGTGACTGAGTATCAAAGCAGAAAATCGTCAGCTCCCAGTACAATTTCACCACCCTATGTAAAAATCGCTCACAATCAATCAGATCGTCGATATTCGAGTGGTTTGCAACTGGCAAGGTTCGACCAAACACTGCTTGATTATTATTTATGATGTTTTGAAGGATACACTGAATGAATTTCACTTAAGGATGCACTGAATGTTTATCATAGAGCTGTAAGCATCGATAAATTTTTGTTATTTCAGGCAGCGAACGCCATTGACGGTGGAGCAATGTGCACAACTGAATGAAGTTCTATTGGATCCAAGTTTGGGTGTTGTCAAAGAGATGGTCAAACAAATCGAGAAACCATCTCGATGTGCCACATCTCAAATCACTCCATCAACTCATAAGCTCCTCACATGAACGTTGTTATTTTCAACTGTTGATTGCTGCGAATATCTCACCGACTGATGTGGCCTTATTCATCAACTTCACTATTATTTCTGTGTTTCCTACCCCGCATTTGTATCACTGTTTTCTAATTTTCATGACAAGCACACAAACAAATTGGAAAGATCAAAAAATAGAACTGTGATCGTTTTGGTTCAAGCAGTTCTTTTGAGGAACTGCAGAAACTGAATATTTTCTCAATGAGCTGCACGAATTCAATGTTGTTTTGTTCTTTATTGGAGGCTCCTATAAGGGACCTCACAAAAGCAGCAAATTAATGAAGCTGGCTGGTGCAGATTATTTGAATTCGAGTGCGGTGGGCTCGGACAGTGCAGTTTTTGATTCATCGAATGTCATCCATATCTTTTAGTTCGATATTCTGTAAACTACGTTTATGTTATTAGTTTAAGCTCGTTAACGTTTCGCATGAACTTACTCTCCATTTTTCAAATCTTCGGCCATCGTCTCACATTTCTGATAATAATGTGCGCCTGAAGGTAGCTATGCCAATTGATCATGTTCAATTCTTATTTGAAGTTACCGGGCGATTGCTTCTAATTACTGGATCTAGCAAAATTTCTTAATTATATCTATTCTCTAAACTTTGAAATGCTTTTCATTATCAAGTCTTGTGGAAAATTTCATCTCTCTGTGTGCAATCTAGCCACTGTTTCCAGCTCTCTCACTGGAGATCTTTGAAGAATTCAGTCGTTTTCATCAGGTATCCACGGCTTATTGGAAACAATAGGCATAGCAATAAACTACGGTTCCAG